AATGCCAACTAGTCCACTAATGACCGATGTTGAAATTAATCACTCTACATCCAGAGGTCAATCACATTGCCTTTGTAATATAAAAGAAAACATAATTATCATAAGCTTATGCTGTCTTTAGATCCAGAAAAAGAACGGCTAAGTGAATACTTTCCTTCCTGCCTGAGCTTAAAACATTTTTTAAAATTAAGTAACAGGTTGTAAAAACTAGCTTTTCTCAGGACCATATGGTTTATTAGCACCATATGGTGCACCTGTACCAGACATTTCTTCAGTCCTGTGCTCCTGCCTGTTTAAAATGTGAATGATTGCCTTCCCTTCCCTGCCTGCAGTACACTTAGTGATCCTTCCTGGCTCACTGTGTCCTTCAATACCTTCTTTACAAGCAGGACTGATTTGGGAATTGTTCTGTAATTGGAAGTCGGCCTCACTGGGCAAGTATACACCTTAAGCCCTTCACAGTGGCCCACCAGCCTAATTAAACCACAGAAATATTAAAGCAATGAGTTGGGAGCATTTGCAAAAAGAATGCATGTTAGTAATCTGGGTAGTTACAGAGACCTTCTCACTCAGACTTCACTGCTCAGATGTGCTGATTTTACCAATGGAATAAAAAAAAAAAAAAATCAAAGAAAATTCTCCATACCCCATGACTACAATCTATTCTTTGCTGGAACTGTATGGCCTCTTCAGGGTCAGAGAATTTGTTTATAACCAAACAATCTCTCTGGATTGGTGAGAGAAATGCCATTTCTGGCCCCCTCTCTTTATGCAAACCAATGGAAAACGAGAATAAGCAGCAGAAAAGCAAACTTTCATTTTCATTAAAATTAGGAAATCCTCATATCTGGACCTGTAATACTGTGTTTTAAAAAGGGCTTTCAGGGGCGCCTGGGTGGCTCAGTCGGTTAAGCGTCCGACTTCGGCTCAGGTCATGATCTCACTGCTCATGGGTTCGCGTCCCACCCGCACTGGGCTCTGTGCTGACAGCTCAGGGCCTGGAGCTTCCTTCAGATTCTGTGTCTCCTTCTCTCTCTACTCCTCCCCCACTCACACTCTGTCTCTATCTCTCTCTCAAATATAAATAAAAACAGTTGGAAAAAAAGTGCTTCCAGATTAGTGAAAATTGTATTGGTGTGAAGATAGACACAGAAAAGTCTGGGGAGTTCAAACTCTCATAGGCAGACTAGATAGAGTGTAGAATTCTTCAAAATAGATGTCACAGCCTTGTCTTAAAAGAAGCTTGGGGTGCAGAGGTTCACAGCAACATGCTGTCAGCATTCAGTGATCTCAGACAACTGAATGCATGTATAGGAAGCACACAGATGCCCGGCCTTTGCTATCTTAGAGGATTATGGGTAGTTCAGTGTAGGACAAACCAGTGGGAATAAACAGCTCTCTAGTTTTTATGTTTGCTAAAGAAGAGTGGAGACATTGGGGCGCCTGGGTGGCTTAGTCGGTTAAGCGTCCGACTTTCGCTTAGGTCATGATCTCGCGGTTCGTGGGTTCGAGCCCCACATCGGGCTCTTTGCTGACTGCCAGCTCAGAGCCTGGAGCCTATTTCAGAGTCTGTATCTCCCTCTCTCTGACCCTCCCCTGCTCACGCTGTCTCTCTCTCTCCTAGAAATAAATAAAAATATTTAAAAATATATATTAAAAAAAAAAAGAAGAGTGGAGACATCACTATGTACCAAAAATTCCATGAAGTGGTTTCACTGGGAGGAGGGAAATTAACAACCAGTCCCAAGCCATTGAACACATACAGGGGATTCATAATGTTTCTGGACGCAACAAGTCCAAAATGGTCACCAGCTCATTTGTCTGGTCCATACCCTTCCTATTCTTTCTCATATGACTCAGGAATAATATGCCCTCCTCAATTCAAGGGTGGAAAGTATTAACCGAGAAATCAGCATGGGATTTATGTGAATATGTCACATCTGAAAAGAAATATCACACATATATACAGAAGTAGGTGAATAAAACACATTGGAAAGATTATATCACAAAGCAGATAAAAATCAAGACAACATATTTCTCCAAGAAGCAATCTGACAACATACATTAATACCAAATATATACGTGCACTTCAGAGCACCTAGAAAACCACCTTAGAGAATTGCACTGTCCAATATGGTAGCTACTAATAATTGAATTGTGGAACTATTTCATATGTGGAACTGACGAACTAAAACTTTACTTTCAAAACTGATACTCATTTCAGTTATTGGAAAGCTTTTAAGTGTGTTTAGAACAATTTGAGTGTATGCATTTCCTTTTCAACTGTAAATTTTATGAAATCCAAATACAGATCAAGTATTGCCAATGAAAGTATAGTGTCTTAGTATATGCTTTAAGTATATATATATACTAGATTTTATATATAGTATATATATATACACTAGATTTTATATATAGTATATATATATACACTAGATTTTATATATAGTATATATATATACTAGATTTTATATATAGAATATATATATACTAGATTTTATATACAGTATATATAGTATATATATAGTATATATATACTAGATTTTAAAGGCTTAGTTCAATAAAAAGAATATAAAATAATTCATTAAAATGATAGTATCATGGGTATATTGGGTCAAATACATTATTAAAATTAATTTTACCAGTTTCTTTGTACATTTTTAAAGTGGCGACTAGAAAATTTTAAGTCATACGTGATTTCCATTGTATTTCTATCAGATAGCACTACCATATAGAAGAAAACCACTAGTATGTGAAGTAAGTGGGCAGGTACTATTCAAAGTAGCCCCAAAACCAAACCAAACCCCCAAAAGTGGATGCTTGTCCTGAGAGGAATGGTTAATACAGATACATAATATATCATTAAATATTATGAAGCCTTTATAAAAAATAATTAATATTTTGCCAGTGGACTTGAATATTCACAAAATATTGTTATAGCAGAAAAGTAAACTGTAGAACAATGTGAGGAATTCCATCCAGTATGGTAAAATCTTCAGTGATAGATATGTTTATAAAATATGACCTGAACATGAAAAGAAAGTACAGAAAGCTATATGTTAGGTTATCTAACCGGGGTTACCCATATGTGGTAGGCCAGAGACAGGGAAGAGGAGGGAAGGAGAAAGAAAATAAGGTATTTAACTCCCTCCCTCTCCCAGTATATATATTATCCCATTTACACACACACACACACACACACACACACACACGTGGGAAGGGAAGGCTAGAGATAGAACTATATATAATGACTTGGTAGGAATGTCCAAGGTATACTGATAAGTGAAAAGAAGTTGAAAGTGATACATAGTAGACTCATTCCAGCTGTTAAGAAGCAACAACTCCTCCACACTCTTACGTGTGTTTGAAGAAAGGTCTGTGTGTGTTTGCCACTCTTTATTACAAATGGATATTATGCTGTGCAATTGAAAAAAGAAGAAAACTTACTACATACTACATCATGGGCTTTCATGAAGGTTGACACAAAGAACACAGAGAACAGAGGGAAAAGACATGTAAATATGGCTTCCTAAAATAAAGTCTAAATTTTGAAAGGGCACATGAGTTCCAAGAAAAAGTTGATACAAATGATCAATACAAATTCTTTACATGAGGTAAAGAATCCTTTCAGGGCACCTGGGTGGCTCAGTCAGTTTAGTGTCTGACTTTGCCTGAGGTCATGAACTCGTGGTTTGTGGTTTGAGGCCCTGTATTGGGCTCTGTGCTGACAGCTAAGAGCCTGGAGCCGGCTTCAGATTCTGTGTCTCCCTCTCCTTCTGCCAACCCTCTCTCACCTTTTTCTCTCTCTCTCTCAAAACAAATAAACATTAAAAATTTTAAGAATCCTTTGGGTATTTAATTTCATCCTTCACTACTACTGCCACACACACACACACACACACACACACAACCCAACTATTTACATATATGTTTCAAAAAATTGTGCATGAACAAGAAAGAAAGCATAAATAAAATAAATTACTTCAGGTATTCCCAAATTCTTTCTGTAGTTTTTCTTTCTCATGAATCAGCTTTTGGCTGTCATTGGTATTTGTGTTTTCTCACACAATGTGGTCTTTGAGCTATTAAGAGAATTGACAATGAGCATTCCATTAAAGAGCACCCTGCCATGGTCTCTGGATCCTTCTTCTGACACACATCAAATCTCAGAAACCATGAAGGTTCTTCTCTGATACCCAGTAAGCAACTTAGATGCTGATGCTTTTCTGGTCAATGGAAGTATCGGTGGAAGGGTTTCAGATCTCAACCAGGAAGTATTCTTCTTCCTCAAATGGTCCTTAACTGACCTTCTGAGTGAAAAGTAGTGCCATTTTCCAGTGTTGTCACCAGGAACATAACCAAATTTATGCATGAGTAGGCTTTCAGTTACACCCTATAACATGTTGACACATTGAAGAGAGACATGGATATCATACATCCATGTAGTATATCATGTTGTTTCTTGAAAATACTTACTATATCTCCCTAGGATGGGATAATTCACCTGTAACCATTGACATGGTGCTTGTCATATGATTAACTTCAAGTAATGGAAGTGAAGGCTCCTTCCTAGCAGAAAATTTAAAGGCCACCTTTCCTCCCCTGTCCCAACATACCCCACATAGTGGCTGCTCCTTTAGCCTGGGTCCTGGAAATGAAATCCAGCCAAAATTGACCCCCCAGAAGCATATGGTGTGAGGGGAAAGATAAATTTGTAAGTCACCATGGGATTTGGCTTATTTGTTATTACAGCATAGTTAGGGGGTAAGCAGACTGGTCTAACCCTCTAAGCACACAGGATTTAAAACCTGGTTTCAGAATGGTCTAAATCTTCTCCTGGAGGACTCTTGATTTCTGTAGGACTTCTTAGGGCAGGCAATGAGTGGGTGGTAAACAATTCTCCATGTGAGAGTCAAGGTCCAGGCGAATGCAGTGACCTTCCCTGAGATGTTTGAGAAGTGAGCCCCTCTGGGTGTGGCTGAACTGTAGTCTCATTGTTGTGAGCCATCGTTTATACATGTATTCTGGTAAAGCGATCATAAAATTCTAGGGTCAGAAAACATCTCTGGGACTGGAGCCAACAGCTCCTCTTGAGACATCATGGTGGTTCCACTCAGTGGGGAAGGGTGTGGGGAAGGGAGGGTAGGTATGAGAGGAGGATGGTGCTGGAGAGCTGCAGTGTTCACTCCTGTTTTTCTTCTTTCCAACTAAAGCCGATTCCATGATGGGTATATCAATCCGCGAAGAACAGTTTTTCTTTTCCTCCTCTAAGTAGAAAAATCAGCATCTGTACCTAGAGTTCTGTTGGAGAAGTAGCTGAACTCAAAATGCATTAGGGATCCAACTGCAGTTCAGTGTTGGTGGGCTCAGCAACATGCAGCAACCCCTTAGAGAAGTCAAGCTGTGGTTTCCTCCTGGGATGATGTCACCAGGACCATTGACAATAGTGCTGGTGGGAAATAGAATAAAATAGTTGAGTTTCGAGGACAGATGCAGTAGATGAGCAGGAGATGACACATGAAACAGCATAGGGCAGGAAGATGATTTCTTCCCTCATATTCAGGTTAGGGTGGATTAAGGACCAGAAGCACTAGAGAATTCATTCTTGACTCTCAAACCCTATTTGGTCTCTAGGACTCCCCCTAGTTCTTCCAGAATAAACAAAGAATCAATCCTCATAAAACACCTGAACCTTAAGAAGGGCAGATAGGGTAGGGATACTTGTTTTGCAGAAAGAAACTATAGAGGGTGGGAGTGGCCAGTATGGGTCACTGGTGGGCCGTCATGCACTGTAGCCCAACACCATCACTATCACCATGTCGTCAGGACGGCCTGCACTGCTCGATCCCCTTGAAAGAGAGGCAGTACCAGTAAACTACTAGTTAAGGGCATAGGCTCTGCGGGCCAATAGACCTAAATTTTATATCTTGATTGTGCTTACATTCATTTTACTTGGGAAAGTGGTATAGTCTTCTCCAGGCCTGATTTTATCAAACACTAAAAAGAGCAATAGTTCCTAGCATATGCTGTGGTTTCAAGGTTTCAGAGAGAAAATTCATACAAAGTGCCTATCCCAAAGCTAGGGGTATAAGAAATGCTTGCACAGCACTAGCTAATATTATAGCTCTCAGTCTTAGCTGAGAGAAGTCAAAATGAAAGGTGGGTTAGAATTGCTACACACGTTCTCATTTTTAAACAGAGTTATCACATTATAAAAAGAAGTGGATTGCATCTTTAGGCCTAATGTGTCTATGAATAATGGATATGCAGACATTATAATCAAGAATACACTACCTGTTCAATAAGCTTTGACAACAAGATACCACCTCGGTTGTGTTTGCAGGTGAACCGGAGTTGAAGGCATTCTCCAATATGAGATGGCAGTTGATGTCTACAGGGGTGCTGGAGAGTATCCCTGGAAGTGAAAAAGTGCCATCTATTTTATTAATTAACGTTGCTGAGCCTTCCTTCTGTTCTTAGCTTTTCCACCATGCTCTGCACATTTCACTTGACAATATGCTCAACAGCAGCTCTGCCTCGAAGCTTTCTGCAGTGGCATATGCTGCACATTTGGGTTGGAGCCCCCTCACTCCCCCCCACCCCCCGCCAGAAGCTGCCATTCTGTGGGTTTGGGGAGATAGGACACAGAGGATAGCAGGTGGTACCTGCAATGCAGGCTGTCATGAAGCAAGCAACGGTCCCGGCAATCAGAGCTCTCACTGCCCCCGAGGCGATATCGCGTTTTCTGCAAGGAGCCATGGATGCTGGCGAACATGGAAAGAGGAGATTAATGTTGAGATCGTTGATTAGAATTCCAAATTCCCAGCCTCTGAGAACTGTTGTGGGGCTGGGCATGTCAGGTCAGGGACTTTTCCTTTTTTTCCAAATTAGCTGGGAAAATCAAGATTCAAGAGCATAATGATGAGCTGCATGTCTAGAGAAGTTCTCTGGCATGGGAGGAAGGGAAGAAACTTGTTCACACCAGAAGGCCCAGAGGGTTCCATTTTTTTTTAAGTTTATTTATTTTTGAGAGAGAGAAAGAGGGAGAGAGGAAAGAGGGTGCAGAGAGAGAGAGAGGGAGAGAAAGAATCCCAACTAGGCTCTGGGCTGTCAGTGCACAAGCCCTACACGGGCCTTGAACTCAAACCATGACATCATGACCTGAGCCAAAAGCAAGAGTTGGATACTCAACAAACTAAGCTACCCAGGCACCCCAGAGTCTTCCATTTTCTACAGAAGAAACAAGTCCTAAGTTTTATCCTAAGTTTCACCACAGTGTATGGAAAGCACGCAAGGCCAATGGGTTTCAAGGAAAGACCCAAATATCTGCAACTCATTGTCACCATCTACTTCTATGCAGACATCACTAATTAATCACAGCAGTTTCCCACTTCCATTGGGCCTCAGAATCCTTCTCCAGGTGGCCATTAGAAATCTACTGGAATTGGCATGCAGAGTGGAACCTATGTGTCATCCCTGGGTGGAGAAGCAGGGACAGATTCTTCCCAAGCTTAGCTTGGATATACATGGGAAAAGTATACTGCAGAGCAGGGTTTAACAAGTAGACCCCAAAGGATTTACTCCTGTCCCAGGGCCTTTATTCCCCTGACACAAATAATGATAAAAAGCAAGATGGAGATTGAAAGTATGTTTATGTTACATATATTGTTGAAGAATATTCTTTTTACTTACTGAGTCCGCCGATCACTATTCCTAGGGAACCAAAATTAGCAAAGCCACAGAGAGCATAAGTGGCAATTGTCTCAGAACGAATCTGTAAATAAGCATAAACATATAGATGTGTACACATGGTATGACCCTGCTTAGTAAATCTGACATCCTAACCAGGCATCCTTTTCTGACTATGGAATCAATATTGATGAATAAATATACAGTGTATGATGTCAGACACCTGTTGGTTGGTAGACTCTTTTTTTCCATTGCCCCTTGAAGTTTGAGAGAGGAAAAGGGGCTGTGTGAATTTGGAGACTCTCTACAAAGGAGTTGGAATTGGTAGTCTGGCCTGTACAAATTCTACTTCTGTCCAATGATAATTTTTTTTAAGTTTGTTTATTTAGTTTGAGAGAAAGGTCAAGAGAGCACAGAAGGGGCAGAGAAAGGGAGAGAGAGAGGATTCCAAGCAGGCTCTGCACCATCAGCACAGTTGCAGGGCTCAAGCTCATGAACCGTTAAGATCATGACCGGAGCCGAAGTCAGAATCTTAACTGACTGAGCCATCCAGGTGTCCCTGATGATAACTTCTAATATTCAATATGACCTGGCCACCTGCTATAATGTGCCAGGCACAGCACTAGCTACTGAAGATATAAAATTGGTCCCAGAAAATACTCACATTGGTTTGTTTGACAAAGGACTTATTTAGAATGTATAAAGAGCTGTTGTTATTTATTTATTTATTTTGAGAGAGAGAGAGAGAGAGAGCATGAGTGGGATAGGGGAAGAGAGAGAGGGAGAGAGAATTCCAAGTAGGCTCTGCACTGGCAGCACAGAGTCCAATGTGGGATTTGAACTCATGAACCTGAGCCAAGATCAAGAGTCAGACATTCAACCAGCTGAGCCACCCAGGTACCCCAAGCTGTTATAATTTAATGAGAAGATAAGCACCCAATAAAAAAAACAGTTTAGGCAAAAGACATGTAAAAGGCCAAAAGCACGAGAAGATGTTTGACATCATTAGTTACCAGGGAAATGCAAATCAAAACAATAAGATACCACTACACATCCACTAAAATGGCTTAAAAAATTGGACAAATCGAAGTGTTGATGGGGATGTGGAACAATTGGAATTCTTGTGCATTGTTGGTGGGAATGTAAACGGACAACAGCCTATTTATAAAACACAAACATACCGGCAGTTTCTTATCAAGTTAATAGGCATAGCTTGTATGACCCAGCAGTAACACTTTTTGGAACTTTCCCAGGAGAAATAAAAACATATGTCCACAAGAAGATTGTACGTGAGTGTTTATGGCTGCTGTATTCATAGCAGCTTCAAGCTGGAAGCAACACAAATGTCCTTCAACAGACAAATGGATCAATAAATTATGGATATCCATAAGATAGAATACTACTCTGCAGCAGGAAAGAAAATAATGGATGTGTGCAACAACACAAAGCTAGTCCATTTGTATAAAATTTTATAAGCAAAAGTAATTGAGAGTGAAAGAAGGGTCAGGCTGTATGGGAATGATGGGGTGGGTGGAGGTATTGTTGACTGCAACTGACCAGGAGAGACAATTTCTAGGTGTGATAGCAATGTTCTGTATTTCACTGTGGTTGTGTTTACACTGGTCAAAACTTGTATATACACCAAAGAAGGGCCTTTTTTTGGTATGTGAATTATACTTCTGTGAAAAGGAGTTGTATTAATAAAAAGAAAACTCACAGATATCTTAGGAGTTCCTTTCATTCTGGCTGTGGTAGTGTGCTTGCCTTTCTTTGGTCCTCAGCTCTAACCATCCCATAGGAATATTAGGTGCCCATTTAGAAGTAGAAGAATGAATGAGTCCTTTCACAGGGCAGTAGGAAGATGGAAGGTGAATTTGTAGAAGCGTGAACATAACCCTCTGGCTCTGCTCTGACAGCCAGGAGGTGCTGCTCAGGACAGATCATTCTTTCTCAGGTTGAGGGACTGTGACCACAGGACGCTCAAGAAGATTCAGTGGACCAGAAGCTCACCCAATCTGGCAAAGGCACCCACACAATTGGGGCAATAATTTTCTTTTCCAAAATCCTGAAAAATCTATGATTTTGTTTAAAAAAAAAAACAGACCAGGAAAATGCTACATTGAAAAGTAGTGGTGCCTTTTTATCCCCCACAACGAACTCGAGTTTCTAAAGCTTATATTCAAGACTCAAGTGGTCATGGTACATTTTTTGTTGATTATAAGGACGCTCTTCTCTTTCGTGGTTTCTGAGAATGCCTTTGTTGAAATTTTCAATCAGAGTGCATATTGCAGGCAGGAAAAAAAATATTTCAAGTATTTGAGCAGTCTGCTGTTTCTGGAAAAGCTCATCGTCATTCCCTGCTCTCTCTAGTGCTTTTCATTTGGTTCAATGGGCTTCAAAAACAGGCAGACTTATTAAGAGACTGTGGGGAGGGAGATGGCACAAAGTGCTTGAGATTCTGCTTTCCTCTTTTTGGGGATTTGTGGGAAGGGGATACACAGATGTGGTCATGTAGGGCTTTCAAATAAGATGAAAAGGGGCCTGAAATGATTCCACTTTGCCTTTCCCCATAAATGTGCAAGATTACATGATGGAAAGAGCTGCCCTTGGAAAGTAATGATGCATCATACACTTCTCCTTGTGCATGAGCAGAGATGCCATATGTACAAGGACAGTCATTGCATTACTTCCAATGGCAGAAAATTGATAACAGTGTCCATCAACAAGGGACTGGTTAAATTAAATAATGGTGTGTTCATACCATAGAATACTATTTCACAGACACTGATGGGGAAAGGGATCCAAGATAGGCTATTCTGGGTGAAGTTTAAGAACAATGAGCGTTATATGGTTTCAGGGAGAAGAGCTGAGTGGCAGAGATATAGGGGGTGACTTACTTTCTCTCTCACCTTTTTGTGCCTTTTGAATTCTGTATGATGGTATGTATAAGTTAAGTGTAAACAAACAAACATGCAAAGTATTACTTTTATTCTAGGAAAGAAAAGACAACGAGGTAAGGAAGAGCTCACTCTATGGATGACGCATTACATACACATTCTGACCTGGACCACACTGGGTTTTGCCTCAGAGACCCAGATCTTATGCTTCAGTCATGTGGTGCCTTTTCCAGGAGATGCTCTGACAGCCCCACCACTTGTTGGTTGGTAAACAAAAACCACAGGGACTCATCCCTGTTTTGTCGACTGGAAATAAGAAATAGGAGAAAACAAAATGTTCTTGCCATTATGACTTGACAGTAGCAGAAGCTATTGGGTTCCTGTCTCCGGATCTCTTCTGTGGGTTGGCCTCTGGTGGGGTTCACCCACAACCAAAATCAGCCTTAATGTGGTGTCTCTGTTCTCTTAATAACTGGCATGCTGGGATGGTGAGCTTGCTTAGCTCATGAACAAAACTACTTTCTCCTGGCAACTGGCAATTGGGGATGGAAAGCAATTCACTTCATTTAGCCTATTGTTTACTTTTGGCAGGGAAGGAAACTGGTTTGTGGCAGCATCCAAACAATGAAGACATTCCGCCAAGCTGCACTGCACGGCCAGTTAAAGAACAGACATTAGAGAAACAGGAGAGCTACGGAGCCACTGTTAACAGATGTGCAGGTTAAATGTCCCAGATCATAACATACCAATCAGTACTCCTTGGGACCAGGCTGTTACATTTGTGTAGTATGTGGGAGTAAATTTGCATGTTTGGTCTCCTTTGCTGGGAGAGATGGTAGTGTTGTTTGGTGGTAGGCCATTTCAGGTAGACTTGGGCAACATGCTTTTCCTCCCCTTTCCTTTTAAAGCTGAATACGTGCCTCGAACATTAATGACAAGTGGCTTGTTTCTTTTTATTTTATTATTTTTTTAATGTTTATTTATTTTTGAGAGATAAGAGTGTGAGCAGGGTTGGGGCACATGGGCAGCTTAGTCGGTTAAGCATCCGACTTTCGCTTAGGTCATGATCTCACGGTTCGTGGGTTCAAGCCCCGTGTTGGGCTCTGTGCTGACTGCCAGCTCAGAGCCTGGAGCCTATTTCAGAGTCTGTATCTCCCTCTCTCTCTAACCCTCCCCTGCTCACGCTGTCTCTCTCTCTCTCCTAGAAATAAATAAAAATATTTAAAAAAAAAAAAGAGTGTGAGCAGGGGAGGGGCAGAGAGAGAGGGAGACACAGAACCCAAAATAGGCTCCAGGCTCTGAGCTGTTAGCACAGAGCCCGTTGTGGGACTCAAACCCACAAACTGTGAGATCCTGACCTGAGCCAAAGTCAGACGCTCAACATCCGACTGAGCCACCCAGGCGCTCCACAAGTGGCTTGTTTCCATGAGTAATGGCGGTGATCAGAAACATCCACCATTTCCCTAAGACTTTCCATGTGTGTGACAATTCTGTTCCTCAGGAAAGTAAATGTTGGAAATGTGGCTATAAAATATGACCTAAGTAATTGGTTTACCTGAGTTCCCTTAGCTCTTCCAAGGCCAAGTGGACATGACCGTGTCCTTAGAGCCTGAAGTCCTGACACCATTACAAGATGCTTATCTCTAAAGTTCAGACTGCTCCCCAAGATTTCCTTTTCCCCCATCCACTTGTGTCTCACTATTTCTTTAAGATGTCCAGGTACTGTCTTACATTTGGGCTGTTTCTCAGAGTTCATAGAATTTCAAAAGCTGGAAGGAAGAGACCTTCAAGATGATATGACTATCAGCCCATGAGGGCAGAGGCCTTAGTACTTGTTCCCTTAGTACAGAGCTGCATGCAGATAGAAGGTATATGGCATATATTTGTTGATTGATTGATTCCAGTCCCAGTTCATATGACTCTATGGATCTACAGCTCTCAAATGTAAATGATCACAATAGTAAGAGTTAGCTGTGTTTCTCTACACACACACACACACACACACACACACACACACACACACACACACATTAGTTCAACATCATTGAAGATTATGAGATGCTATGTTCACTATGAGCCCATTAGATCAGGGATTTTTGGTCTTTTTTGTCCTCTGATGTATCCCTAAGGACCTGTCCTGATACACAGAGGCACCAATGACTGCTTGAGAAGTGTATGTAATGAAGAGGTATATTAAGAAATCAAAGTATTTACTCACCGACATATATTGCTGCACACCATTCACAAACTTGGGCCCAGCCTCTTTTCTTAAATTGATCAATTTTGAGAGGTGCTCATAAGCCACAAATTCATTGAAAAATGTCTTATAGCCTATGAGTTTGGCAACCATAAAGCTGTCTTGCCAGTCCACTCCCATCATGAAGGAAAAGGGCATGAAGATGTAGGAGCATATTATCTACAAAACCCAAAAATAGATATTTTATTAGAATGGTGATTTGCTTCTGGTTCTTCTGCCTCATGCTTGTGATAAGATCTTTTTCTACCCCCCATCCCCACCTTGTGTCTCCTTTAAGCACTGAAATCCCTTCACATTGTCTGACCTATCTCCATCCATTAGGAGTCAAGGTTGGTATTGGTAGCCTGGATTCCTGGCATGAGGTCAGGAGAGAATGGCTCTATTTTGGGGGAAGGAAGGGGATAGCAGATACATGATAAGTGTGTGCATTATTTAAGAGTATACTATAGGTTGTTAGGGAAGGCTATTCACAAACCTATTTTATTTTTAGACAAAGATAGGCAGAAACAAAATGGAGGAGAGACATGATAGAATTATACCTCAAAACTCAGCTGTGGGTAGTCAAACATGTTTCCAAACCAGGATAGGGCTGCATTCATAAAAGACAACAGGGCCAGGAAGGCAATCAAGTTCACAGCTATGTTTGCCACCAGGGAGATGGATGAAGATGCTCCCTGTGTTGCGGCTTCTAGAAGGTTCCTTGAATCACTTTATAAAAAACAGCAATTCCAGAATTACCCAGGTGTTGTCAGTGGATGGACATCACAGGTGTAGAAATGGCACAATCAGAGCTCATTTGTTTGGAGAGACAAACTCTCAGGCTCATGCCTCGGTCAAAATACTCTCCTAAATGCCATGAAATCATGATGGCATTTTTAAATCCTGAATGTAGGTGATGGGTATATGGGTGTCTAACTGTTATACTACTCTGTTAATGGGGGTATTTATAGTTAACATTTTGCAAAAAGATAAAAATATTATAGGCTTTAAAAATTATATTAAGGTAGCTAACAGAAAACATTTATAAAATCTTCACAGTATAAGAACTAAGAATTCAAGGAAGGCCTGAATATCTATCACCTCATTTAAGAAATGGAACATCACCCCTTCTTCCTTAATCTCATCCTCTTCTCTTTAATCTCCGAAGTCCCTGGTTCCCTAGAAGTTACTCATCATTCCCCTTCTTTTTATTTTTCCTACATGATTTTATGCCTAAATAATATGTTGTGTAGATTTACATATTGGCTACCTTTAGAAGTGGAATCACACATATTCCATACATGTATTCTTTGACAATTTGTTTTTCACTCATGGTCATGACTATCCCTACACACAGACAAGGAATGAATCTCAGCAACATGTTCATTGATGGCTTCTATTATTTAATTAAATTCTTTTGACTATCCTAAATCACTTTGTCTTTTTCACCCTTTTTTCTTTCTTTCACAAAAGGCAAAAGAGAATGAATTGAAGAGGGGTTAAAGATACCTATACCACGTCTTCATTCTCCCTATTGTATAAGAAACTTCCAGAAATGGTTGTCCCGTGTCTTCCTAATGGTCTTAAGTCAAGGCTCACTAAACATATATATTTAAAATGAAATATCTACATTGAACAATTAAGAAAATGTATTGACATCAAATATTTGGGAAGTTTTTCAAGTATTGAAAAGAGATTTTTTTGGAAGTCTAGTGAAGTCTAATAGTCACTGCGAAATTAAATTCACTCTAATACCATAATTCACTGTGCTATCCGATGATCAACTTTTAGCTGTATTTTGAATTTGGACCCTCTCCCCCCCGCCAACTCCCCAGCTTGTATAAAGTAGATGAATATGTCCCACTTACCCACTTTCCATTTTCATGGCATTCTGGAGGGTTATTTTAGGTGTTTCTGTCTCAGGCCAAAACAGTTTAGCCACAGCCAATGATGCAGGTGCGGACATGACCGAAGCAGTTAACAAGTGGGAAGGCGAAACCTGTGATTTCAGGAGAAAGGAGACCAACTGAGGTTGAGTCTTTGTGATGTGTTCAGAATGAAAATGGCCCAAAAGCCTTACAAGAGAAGAGAAGAAATTGAGCCTATGCCAGAAAAGCATTTCTTTGGAGGCTTGGAAACACTCAGTGAGCCAAGTCAGCACCACCTTGAGAGTAAGAGGGAGAAGGGAGGAATTTGTGTTAATTGACCACATCCTTTGGGAAGAAACACAAAACCAAAAGTCAATCATTTCGGAGGAGAATTAATACTGTGTTGTAAGATCTTTCAAAGAAGCTTCCACTACCTCTCTTTTGACCTTCTGAATGTTCAAATAGTCCCTAAAGCCCATTTTTCATTACATCATCAATTTAGATAGGGGAAGTATATGAGGATACAGGCATCGACATACCCTTCTCTGTCTTCCTTTTGCTTTCCTGAAATCCTTGATGCCTTTATATCGTATTCATTTATCCAGAGTCCATTTAATCTGTATTTGTTTCCCTCACTGTAAACCTACTTAAACTCTTTTCCCTTTCTTCCCCATATCCTTATTTTGTTTCTAGATTCTCTTCCTTGTATTTTCATAATTCTAGAATCCATACCTCCCTCCCCACTACTATCCCATCCCGCACATTTTTGCAGGCAGCATTCCTACGGTGGTGGCAGAGCAGACCATCCGGAGATCCAGTCGAACTACTCTTCTAAGGTCTCTTTCGCCCTCTCTCTCTCCCCTCTCCCTGTTGGTTGGTTCTCTGAGGGCTAGATGAAGTGGAAGGATAAAGCTCTATCTTGTGAGAACTACTAGTCACCTGGGTCACCCAGCTGCGTGTTCTTCCATTTCTCCGCTGGGGGGTTGCTTCTATGTGTGGCTTATAAGTTCTGTGCTTGGGGCACATGCATCAGTTATGTTCTGCAGCCCTGTGCCACAGACCACCGGCTCTCAGACTGGCTCTCAATAAAAAAAAAATATTGATGTCTAGGTCTCATCTTAAGAGATTCTGGTTTAATTACTCTGGGGCATGGGCCTGGACATCATAAAAGTTTTTATGATGGTTTTTTAAAAGTTCCCAGATGGTTCTAATGTGCAGAAAGGTTTGAGAACCACTGCTCTAGGCCACAGGTCAGAAAACTTTCTCTATGCAGGGCCAGAGAGTGAAGATTTTTGGCTTTTTCAGGCCACAACTACTCAACTCTGTAGCATAAAAGCTGCTGAAGAGAAGTGAATAGAAATAGCTGGTTTCCTGCCAAACTTTAGTTACCAAAAAGGGGAGCAACTGAGTTTGGCTCAGGGGCTGTACCTTGCTGACCCCTGGTCTAGACTGCTTTTGGTCAAGACAGTAATAGTGTTTTTTGTTGTTGTTTTTACATATTTGCATGTTCAGCCAAAATAACCACATAATATGATTTCATTCTGCCACATTTGGATATCACGCACATTTAGGTGGCAAGGATTTGAAAGTGAAGGCACAAAACTCCTCAGGGTCACTCCATCAAATGCCAGAGAAACCATGACCAACTATTCAGCAAAAAGGACACTCTTTTTGCCTCCTTACCCAGCAGCAGTGGTAAAGAAAATGCAGAAATAATAGCAGCAAAGAAAGAAGAGGTTGAATTTTCCATAAATTTATCTCCAAACATTCTTACCCCGAAAGAAATGTATGCACCTAACACGCTTCCAGCAATGGTAGAGAACCCAGCAGTCATGATTGCGTGGAGTTCAGACTTTGTAATGTGTGGTAAGTAGGGTCGGACCAGCAGTGGAGACTCTGTCTGGAAACAAAGTGAGATCAGGTCAAACGTCCCCTTCTAACTCTTAGGAAGGCATGCCAATCTACTCAAGATTCCATTTTCGAAAGCAGTATTTCTAAGAGTGAACCACTGACTAGCTCCATCAACATCACCTGGGAACTTGTTAGACATGCAGCTTCTCAGACTCAGTAGATTCAGAAACTCTGGGAATGGGATGAGCAGTCATGTGTGAACCAGCCTTCCAGGTGGTTCTGAGGCATGCTCATTTGAGAACCCGCACCATCGATGTCTGGGTCATTGTACTCTAGGTCAGTGTGCACATAGAGTTATGTGTGAGGCCTGCAAGGTTTGCAAGACCAATTCATATAAGGCCCCCACCAACCTAGGATTGGAGCCTGATGGCCAGATACATTTTTCTGAGGTTGGATCAGTGTTGCCCAAGTAACTGTACCCTGCTCTTCTGAACTGGTGATTTCCAAGCCTCTGTGATATCCCATCTTCCAGTTTCATCATGACAGACCATGAGCCTCTTTGCTTATACCACAGGGAAGTAGAGACACACATATAAAAAAGTACCAGCAATAACAAGGGCAGGTGCCCACAGGCACTTTCCTAATCGAGAAGCAGAGACCCTGCTCTTCCCCGTGGGTGGAAAGGAATTAGAGTGTCTGGTTGTAAAGGCTTGAATCCCATTAAGGAGGACAGATAGCCTGCAACGTGGGGCTTTCCATAAAGAATATCCGTACTTTTAGCATATTAAGTATCACATTGAGCACCACAGAAGCATGTGTGCAATTTTACAATTTCCGCCTCATTATTTGTAATTGTTCTGTAAGATTGAGTGTGTTGAGCTTTACTTCATGGACTAAATAGAAACTCAGTGCATGAGCCCTCTGACCCCGCAGGTAGGAGTAATCAAGTCAAGATGGTGTTCTAATTAGTCCTGAGAGATTTTATGACTATAATTATAATAATTTTAACTCCTAGGGAAGGAAGTCTGGGTCCTACCCTAAAGACTATACTCCAGGGGCGCCTGGGTGGCTTAGACGGTTAAGCGTCCGACTTTCCGACTTTCGCTTAGGTCATGATCTCACGGTTCGTTGAGTTCGGGCCCCGCGTCGGGCTCTGTGCTGACTGCCAGCTCAGAGCCTGGAGCCTGTTTCAGTCTGTGACTCCCTCTCTCTCTGACCCTCCCCTGCTCACGCTGTCTCTCTCTCTCTCTCCTAGAAATAAATAAAAACCTTAAAAAAAATTAAAAAAAAAAAAAAAAAAAAAGACTATACTCCAGGCTAGCACACTGGGCTTGCCAATAAGGCGCAGCCTGCCTGGAATAATTCTAAGCCTCAGACTTGGAACCATGTGCTTCTCTGGGTGACTTGATTTTTGCTTCAAATCCAATTTCCTTGGGTAGCGGTGCTGGCAAGCATTCACATTTTGGTTCCTGGGTGTGTGATTCCATTTGCCTGAAGCCACATATCCTGAGCATTGAGGATGATTACCACATCTTACTTATCCTCCTCGTAGGAATGCTGCTGTTTTGAAGGACACCCTCTAGCATCATATTTCCTTGCCTAAATGGCCTTCAGGCAAAACACTTGTCCATGTGAGGGATCAGAAGGATGAAAATGCTTTTGCTCATCAGCATTTTTCTTCAGGCCCAGCCAAGACAGACTGTTGGCCAGTTCTGACAAGTTGAGAATAAACTCAAGTATTTATACAGCTGCAGGGTTACTGGTGGAAAGTCTTTCTTGGTCTCTTTCATTACCACAAGCGTTATGCCACAGAATGGGAGGCTCCCTGTTACAGGTTTGCAGCTTCAAAATAAGTGGTGAACTCCGTTGGAGTGGATGATCTGCTAGCCTCTGAAGGGTGGGTCTGAGACCTCAACAATTCAATTAATTCAGAAAAGATTGGTTGAGAATCTATACGGGAGAAGCCCAGCTCTTTGATACTTTGATAAAATGATTTACCATCTTTCTTTTTCTCCATAAACTTTGGAGAACCCAAATTTAATACTAGTGCCTTGGGACACTTGGAAGGGATCACTCTCATACACTCTTTTTCTGTTTCTGGAATCTGGACATTGTGAGTGCTGAGGGCTCCTCTTTTGACACGTTTCCCCTGACACTTAAAAAAAAAAACTACCATTATATTTTTTATTCTACTTTCTGGTAAGAGTATCCATTTCAACAGGTGTTTTGTTTTGTATTGTTTTGAGATTACAACTTACCTGTCCAACAAATATATTGCCAGCAGCAACTACAGATTCAATAGGAGATGATCCCATAGTCACTAGCATTACCCATCCAACCTGAAAGGGGATAAGGAACAAAGTCAGTGAAGAGCTGCTTGTATACACAAAACTTCAACATAGGGATTAAAATCTTTGGAGGAAAATGCCTTCAACAATTGTTGGCAGGCCAGTGATGGTGCCAAGTGTGACTATATTTTATCTAGAGTCTACAGAGCAAGCCCATCACATCCTTCTATTTGAGTGGTAAAGCTGAATCATTGTATTTGCTTTGAATTTATACATTCACTATACAAACAAATCTGTACTGAAACACTGTATGAGAATAACAAAGTCTAATAATTACTAACACTCTTGACAGGCTTTCCTGCATTCCAAGCACTGTTTTAAACTCTTGATCCAGGTAATGCATTTAATTATCATAATACCCCTTTGACGGGGGTCCTGTAATTATGGTCATTTTATAGAAAAGGAATCTGAGGCATGGAACAGTTTAGTTGTTTTGTCTAAGATGACCCAGCTAATAAGTAGTGGGATGAGGTTTGGCCCTTTCTACCTAACTCTCAGATGAACATGATTTATGGTCGCACTTCTGTTACTGGCCCTTCCAGCTAGAGACTCTGGTGCCCACCTCAGGATGGAAACTTCCTGTTGCATTCTCTCCTTCCTTTCTGCTTAGACATGAGCACAATAATGCCCAATGTTCAAGTCAGCAATTAGAAAATCGTGGGCCCTGGCACACTCTTGCTGAAATTCTAAATTCTGCTGTTGTTCTGGTTCCTTTCTCTCTCTCTCTCTGTCTCTCTTTCTCTTCGCTCCTTACCTCGCTCCCTTTGATTTATTTATAAGGATCAAAGGAGGGCTATGGCCATGCCCAAACTCTGTGCCCTGTTTGTGTGTGTGCATTTGAACTAACTTGCAAATATCCTCATGTTGCAATTTAACACAAGTGTAGAACTGATGCTGGGGTGGCAGGAATGAGATTAACTTTTCAGACCTGTGTGTGCATGTGTGTGTGTGTGTGTGTGTGTGTGTGCACGCAGGCACACACTTATAAAACTCCCTCAGAAAGAAAAAGCAGCTACCTTCTTCTTGCTTTGATCCTCTAGCAACACCTAGACCAAGATTCTCCACTTTTGCAACATCCCGAGTATAAGCAGGGATTCTCTGCAAAGGAAGACAGCCAGGACGAAGGAAGGATGCTGTTCTCCCCACAGGTGTCAGCTCTGCTGGAAGCAATTCTTTGGCTAAAGAAGTAATTACTAATGTTTTATATGAAGATAACCAGTAACCGCTTACTGCAAGTCAAAGCCCCATTGGAAGTTCCCCGAGATAAAAGTCCATCTGTGGCTACATGTAGGATTTTTTGGTTTGGGTCTAATACCTTGGGGTGGAGGAGTGGTGGTGGTGGTGATAGGTCTTGGTACAAACAGAAAGACACTTGGAAAAGCCTGGATAAAAGGCATCTAAGGCTTTGTCCCTGAAATGATCAGCTGCACACCTGTCACCCAATTCCTTCAAGCCCCAGTACCTTTCTAATGATCCACTGCATCAATCCAAGGTAGTAGAGCATGGACATGACAGTGCTGAAGAAAATCACGATTGGCAGGACCTGGGAGTGAGGTGGGGGGTTGAAAGCAATCCAGGGTTGATGTTGGCCTCAGTAATATTAGTACATTTCAGATCAGGTCTATTTTCTGCTTCCCTCTCCCCAACCCTGCCTCACCTGGAAAACACCATAAAACTACTAGAAAGTCCCTTGAACTAAATAACACTTTTCTCAGGCAGCTTCCCCATCTACAATATTTTATTTGAATTTACTCTGGATCAGCTTGAGGATATTTCATAGGAAACGTGACATTTATTTTGTTTCTCTGCAATGATGAGCTTCTGCTACTTTAGTTTCTCAGTGAAGGAATGAAGTTCTGATGGGGGTGGGGGGGATTTTGTAATAACTAGAGCCACAAACTAAGGTCCACTGGCAGATATTCTTGAATATCTGATATTAAACAGCTTCATTAGCAGAATATCCTGGTCGAAATGGAGTGTGAGCAGCCTCAGATCTTTATTTGTAGAAGTTGCACAGACCAGATACAGCCTGGTGGGTGCTTACCCAAACTGCATCCCATAGGGTAAGTAACTCATTCACTTAGCTCTGAAGAGAATAATTATTGTACTTGTGGAGTTTTTGAATCACTAAAAAATAAACTTTGGAAATAAAAGTGTCTTTTTCTGAACCTATTTCCCTAATGCTTTTTGGGTGCCTTCCCTGCAGCCTGTTTCTACAGTGAGCAGTTTCCACCGTGTAGAGATCACACAGAGCTGTGGGCTGGGTCCCCCCCCCCCCAAACTGCTACCCCCCTCTGCACCCCATCCCCTCTGTTCCCCTGCTAAATGGCCAAGGACATGCTGCTACCAGAGGCACAGAATGACTGAGGACAATTTGTACAGGATCCAATTTAGAAACATCTATTAATAATATATATTAAAAGACATTTTGTGCCATTATGCAGAACTCAGTCACTTATGTGCTTTTATTGGCTTTAATGGGAGAGCAGAGCCATCCTGAAAGCTTCGGGGAATTTAAGGAGCTTATCTCTTGAGTGTTCCGACAGGGATTCTGCTTTGGCAGGAAGGACAGAGGCCACCACCCTGGGGGAGAGGACAGTGGTGGTTGTGTGGGTGGGTTCAAAGACACTGGTGTGGTCTGGGCATCAAGTTGTACCTTCCTTATGAATTTCTTTTTCCAATTCTGGGTTCAGTTCATGATATGAGCATATTTCTGTCTCAGTTTGCAAACACTTGGCCTTTGGGAGATGGCTTGGTCATTGGAACACCAAAGCATCAAATTAGCAATTGAATAGAAAAAAAAAAACCCTCAGTATAAAAGTTGGCCTAACTGAAGCTGGGGAGTTTGGAGGTAAACTTAGGGTTCCAAAGTGAGAAAACAATTTAGATGTGTAGGAACAATAACACCACAACAAAGAATGCTGAAGGCAAAGCCAAATTCATCTTTCTGACTCATCGACAAGTATATATAGGGGCTTCGCAGAGGACAGCAAGCTTCCTGAGGCTTGTGGGAGGACTGGGAAGTCAGGTTGCCTTTCCCTTGGACAATAATGTCCCTCCTTTGGTTGGGTGAAGGCCCAGCCTCCAGGCCCGCTGTGCTGAAGGAAAGACACAACAGGTTTAACATGGAGATGGCTCTGGAAGAACAGAGGTTGATGTGAGGGAGTAGCTGTCTCTTTCTGGGAGCCTGAGGGGTTCCGGAGCACAAGGCTATATCTGATCCCTGACCTAGAAGTCATCAGTGGCTATATGTCTGTTCATTGACAGTTATTGAATGTTCTTTTCCCTGATGCTTCAGATACTGTTACCCCATCTGATTTTTCAAAAGTATCTCAGGCAATGCTATGAGCCTCCTCAAAACTATTTGTGTATTTCTGATTCCTCAAGATGTTTCCCTCAGTGCTATGTAACAAAGTAAAACGTTTGCAATCCACTGACTTCAGATAAAATCAGATAAATGGAAAAAGGTGGTGATAGGTTATCCACGTAGGAAATGTCCAGTGTGTGTATATCTGGTTTAGGGTCAGTTTCTATTGTAACATCTACAAAGATCGAGAAGGTACTGACAAAGAAGTAATACTTTAAAAAGGGGTTTGACTTTACCTTAAATGCAAAGAAGTGGTCTGCATAAGTCTCACCAAAGACAAATTCAGCCCCAGCATTAGTATACTCCAAGAAGGTCTGAATTAAAGGAAGGAAAAGAGCACACAATTATTACAACCACGGAATTGGTGGTTACAGTCCCCAGGACCTCACAGGCTCTGCAGAAGGGGAGCCCAGCAAACTTGCTGGATAGAGGGGGAAAGTAAATTTTTGCAGCTGATAGCATGGAAGTGTATTTTTTTAATGTCAATATATTTGATTTTGAGAGAGAGAGATAGAGAGCCAGACCTCTAGAGATGGGGGACAGAATCCCAAGCAAGCTCTGTGTTGTGATGTAGAGCCCAAAGCGGGGCTCCAACTCACAAACTGTGAGATCATGACCTGAGCCAAAACCTAGAGTCGGATGCTTAAGTGACTGAACCACCCAGGTGCCCCAGGAAGTGTATTTTTGAACTACACCTGCATACAGATTTCCTGTCATTTGCGACATTCATTCTGACTCTGGGATACTCAAGAAGGACCCAGGTGTGGCAATTTGTTCCAGCAAGTCATAGGTGGCACTAACCATCACTCCATGCAAAGACAGCCTGTTTCTCTATTTGTGGAACCATCTTAGAGGTGTGATACCCCTGGGCCACGATGAAGGGGCAATTGGGATAGGGGAGTGATGTAGTGGAAGATTGGGCAAGGGACAACTGTAATATTAATAAACTAGACAGATTGACACATTCTACACAGAAATGTGTCAACTAATGCAGACAAATAAACCTATTTCTGACATGTCTTGAGGATTATATCCGAAAGTTAAAAAAATAATTTATAAGCAAGGTGTTCCTTTGAACCCAACTTACCTGAACTTGTTTGCCCAACCAATCGAAAGCTATAAATCCAGGGTCAGTCCTTAGGATTAAGAGCCCAAGAAGAAACTGTAACCCAACTCCCCAAAAGACAGGCCTCCAGTAAACCTATGCAGAAAGATGAAGAGATAGATGTCACTAGAAAATGAATGGCTAAGCTCAGCATAAACACCCAGAGAATTACTATTTCCTCGGAAGCTTCTCACACATGGCCTGTGATCCATCTTTGAGAGGCCAAAGCACTTGTGAGCAGAGAATCACGGCCCCAGATCTTGGAGCTGCATTCGCTCTTCCCAATCCTGAGTTTCAGTCCCTAGAAGGTATACAATTATCATTCTATCATAGTAAAATTATTAGACACAAAGAGTGGTCTTAGAAGGACCATCAAAGGAGGAAGGAAGGATCTGGCCCTCTTAGTTAGTTGTGTTATAAAAGTGAGAGACATATAATTATTTCCCCTGTCTGGAAAATGGAAAGGCAGAACAAGACTTCTCTGTGTGCCCAAGGTTTGTTCATCTGACAATTTGTAAGTGGATTAAATGAAATTCCACCCTATTGAGGGGCTCTCATTTCACTGTAAAAGGAACCAATTAACTCTAATGCAGACCCCGGGAGTACAGCAGTAATGGACAATCATCTGCTTTCATTTTTGGTGCAGAGACGAGTGGGCTGGAGAGAACTAAAGGATTGGAGGCATAGCAATCAGCAGCTATGCTGACCCTAGCAGGGCAAGGACTTTGGATGCTATTAGGTGACTTTCTTCTTTGGCCAACCTTTCAGCCAGGGAAATGTTCCAGAGTTTGTCATTCTGAGTCCTGTGTGAAAGGCTGGATGTCTCCAAGTTCTTGCCCATTTAATGGGTTACAGGCTGACAGAATGAGGATAGGTATTGGATTCAATGGGAACAAATCTGATCTGTTTAAGGACAGATTTTTGCAGTAAAAGAACCTAAATTGCAAATGGAAATTCGATAAACAACAGAATCCAATGGTAGAATATTAGATTATTTACTGGTCCAGGGAAATTAGGATCAAAATAGATTAATTTTCTTAGTGTGTTTGATGGAGGGAGGTGGGGTACATGAGTAGAAATTAGACTTGACAGGAGAGAACACCTCACTGGTGGTAGAACTGGAAAATTACTGAGAGTGAAAAATGAGAGAATACTAGTACTAAGTAAGTTTGGGAAGGAAGGTGCCCTTACCACTTAAAAGAGCATAACAAGGTAAGACTAATATTGGGTAACAGTGAACTTCTCTCACACTCATTGTTTTGAGCAATTTAGACATGGTGGGGAGAGAGGGGAAACGCTGAAAAAGATCGATTTCATACTTACTTTGGTTGGGTGCTTGGAAAATAGAAATACCAGGATAATGTACATTATGAGCCCACCGAAGGACACCAGCTGCTGTTGGCCCAGTTTGGCGGTGTCAAAAATCAGCCAGAATATAACTCCCAGGATCAGTAAGCTCCAAATCACCCTAAGAAAATCGGAAAGGGGGCATCAGCATCATTTGTTATGCTAGCTTGAAAATCTCAAAATCAGGCTTAAACTAACAAAAAATTTATTAAGACTAACACCCTGGCACGAGGAAGTTATGCTGCTGGACATGGCACAGACCCTCTTTGCTTGTGGCTATCATGGCAAATAGCCCAAAATTAAGCACTGCATTAAGCACATTCCAAAACTCTTGGGCTCTCACTGATTCAGGACATACAAAGGGGTCAGAGATGAGAAAGAATGTTTAGAGAGGGAAGTCTCTAGTGATTTCATTGGGAGATCTGCTGCGAGTTCTCATTTCTGTTTTGGGAGATGGGAGAGATGTAACCTTCTGCCCTTTAGGGGAGAACTTGAAATGTGTTCTCTGAAGTTGGAGGACTTCATCTGAGCCTCACATAGTAAGTTGGACTTCAGGAAGGGTTCTGACTCCTTGATGGATTTAGTGGGCATGACAAGTTTGATTCACAGCTTGGATGGCAGAGCCAGAAAGCATGCTGTGTTGATTTTGCACAGTCCTGTGTTGTTAGGCCAAAGTATGTGAACTTTCCCAGTACATCCCTTGGGAGCCATTCTGGGGAGAACCTGTCTTGTGTCTAATCCATTAGGGCCACCTGGAGGAAGAGGAGTTCCCATAGAAAGAAGCTGAGAGAAAAGCCCTGAGTGGTCACTCATCAGATATGGATATGAGGTCTCATGGGAAAGAGTCAGCTTTAATAATTCACGGGGTCTTCCTTTCAAAGAGACCAGCTCCAGGCCCAGAGCAGAAAGCCACCTCCCCAAGTCAGAACTGTCCTATCTTTTGGACAGTATCTTATCATTTAGTGGCACTTGAAGTTAAAGCAGTCTTCAGGGTTATTTGAACAGAACTTGAATGAGTCATTGCCCTATCTAGGCTCTGATTTCCTGTTTGTAAAATGAAGGTATTATAACAGCTTATTCCCCAGGTTATTTCTAGTTTCAATAGCCTATAAATGAGGGAGCAATTTCAGAACACATTTTTGGAAACAGTGTTGGAAAAGATGAAAATTTCTGTCAAATGCAACAAGAGAACTGAGTGCCATTACCACTTCATCCAGAACCACTGGCTGTTTAGGAACCTTCTGCCAGGAGATAGGCACTCATCGATCCGATGCTCGTATTTGGCCATAAAGTAATCCCAGACCACAAAGAAGATGGCAGCCACGGTGATCACGAAAAGGGGAAGGGCTCTTTGAAAGTTCAGCACACAAGCTGCAATCACCATCACCAGGTAAGCTGTTGAGAAAGGGAGCACAAACAAGGGACATCACCAACACCAGGTGTAGACAAGGCTCCAGCACTCATGTGGCTCAGCCAAGGGAAGGTTCAATCAAGAAACCATTGAATGCAGGATTGCTCTTGATGTGGCTATTGACTCCTGTAATTATCTGTACTCTTAGGATTTTCTTTTTCAAAGTAATTCCTTAACAGTCTCACTATGAATGCAGGAAGGACAAAGTGCTAGGTCTGTTTTCTCATAGAACCTCAAGTTCTTGAATCTTGATGCTTGATTGTTGGGCCTCTCAGTACTAACTGCTTTTGGGGGGCGGGTATTCAGACTCAACAGGAGATCTTCTATCAGAGAAAGGCTAGGTGTTGAAGTGACAACTGACAAAAGGGTATTGATTCTCCTGGTTTGCAGCTCAGATTTGGCCTATGTTTCAGTAGGAAAATAGGCCTTCCAACCATCTCTGAGTTCCAAAGAATCTCTAAAGAAAGGGGTGAGGGATAATTACCAAGGTGGCTGCTTTTGAAGAGGAGAGCCTAGGATAAGAATAGGGTGTCCTAGAGAGGTCAGCCAACATGGTCTGCAGGTTAAATCTGGCCTGCCACTTGTTTTTGTAGGTTGCAAGTACAGTTATATTTGTATACTTGTGTCTGTATTCTACAAATATGCTTGCATGGAAACACTGTCACACCTGTCTACTTTGGTTCTAGAAGGACAGAGTTGTGTGGCTTTCACTGTGTGGCCTGAAAAGCTTAAAATATTACCTGGCCCAGTACAGAAGAAGCTTTCAACTCTGATTTTCCCTGTTTCAGATATCTGAGCACCAATGAAGCCACTGACCTTGGTGGTACAGGAGTCTTGGATTAATGTCGATGGACTCAGGTGCAAAGGTTCACATTTTATAGACAGGGGTATTCTTCAGAATGGGCTACAGAACTCTTTGCTTTGGAGGGAGTAAAAACAGGGACCTGCTTATCTGTGAGGATAGTATGATCCTGCTTTCAGGCAAGAGGAGTGGCATGCATGACCCTAGGTTCCTGCCTACATTGTATTTACATGAAGTATTAATTGTTTATATTGTCCCCTGCAATTAGGTTCCCATCATGTGATTATCACCATATGTTCTAGTTACCCGAATTTGCATTAACTAGCCCTTAAATCCATATCACAACAACCAAGGCGGTAAAAGTAGGGAACCTAATTAGTTGGTAGCTGCATAAACCAAATAGGGAAACAATCTGCATAGGCAACTGCAGTTGAGACCCCCCGGCCCCCACACACACTCAGGGGCTTCTGGATTAACTTCCTTGCTTCTCTAGATTTACCAAGGTCCAGAGAGAACAGAAAGATTTCTTTTCTTTCTACAGAAAGCTACTATTTGGGGGATTCTCAAACAAAGACACTGGCATCCATCCCCCTTTTGTTATTTACCTACTATTAAGATGCCCCAGATGATATACTGAAAGGTGGTTTTGTGTTTCCTATAAAAATCACAAACTGTATCATACTTCTTTTCCAGATACCTGCAAAAACAGAAGAGCAAAAAGGCAGACAGAAGTAAACATCAACAACATGAAATAAATTGACATAATGAGCTAGATGAGGCTTTGTAAATCAAGCAAGTAAACAAACAGATTGATGAAGTGTATGTCCTACAAAACAGAAATGGGATATGCATCTCATTTTAGACTATAATCAGCCATGGCTTGGATCAGCATTTGCTGAGTGCATGTGCCAAGCCCTGAGGGCTACAGAGATGCAGAAAACATGCTTCTGGAAACAGAGCAGGGGAGATGAATAACTAAAAGCTGGAAATAAATCATAGGACGAGACTGTTTCTCACGGGACTCTGATATTTAAGCTTTTAAGCCACAGATATGAAATGTTGATTTTAGAAACTCTCATCCCTTCTGGCCTTACAAAGTTTAAGTAAGTTGGTGGTTCCCTGTCCTGGCTCATCATGCTTTTTAGTGGGAGACTGACAGACTTCACTGGGTGCTTGAAATATAAAGAAGGATTTTGTGGATTTCAGAGCTATTTAACCAGCAAGTTGTAATATAGCTGTCTCAGAAAGTTCTAGCATTGTTGGTATGTCTTTGTTTCTGTCCAGAGCTTTAGGGGGTGGTGGGTAGTGAGTGAGTAATATGTGCCTCTGATCACTTCTGTTGGAGAGGATGGTGTCCATTAATGAGTGAGTTTGGAGGGTTCCCAGGGCCATAACCACCACAACTGTCCTCTGCTTTTCCCAGGTTCTCCTGGTTCCCTGCATGCCTGCCCTGAAACCTGATGTCCCTACATTTCCCTCTTTTCTCACTTCCCCTTCTAACAGAGACCTCTTCTTCTCCCACTGGAGGAAGGAATTTATTCACACATTAAACATTGCCACTTCTAGGTCACTTCTAGCCCCATATAGGAGATTCCTCATCTCCATGATTCTAAAGGACTCAGCCCCGGTCTGGGACCTCCCCTTCACTTGTTAATGTCTCCACTTCTCCATTTTGCAGCAGCTATGCCTCCATGTCTGAGTCTGAGCTCTTGTGCAAGTTTCAAGACACAGCCCAAGCCCCTTGCTCCTACAACACCTTCTTGCATCTCCTTGAACAGAGCCATTCCTCTGTGCTCTACCCTACTGTCTTCTTTGATTGTGTTTTGTGATATAGCCTTGACTGGCTAACTTCCTGGAGAATAGATGTGAGCCCAATGGCACTAGGACCTTGGACATTAGTGTGCTTGATGGGCATTTGTTGCATTACTAGAAAAATGAAGTGGGACTGTGTGTTGCTTATCTGGAATAGTATTCTACAGCTGTGGGTTGGGGCCCATTAGTGGGTTGTGAAGAGCACAGTGTGTGACACTCATCATTATTTTATTTTATTTTTTAAATAGATATACAGCTTTTATTATTTTTTTAAGTTTATTTATTTTGAGAGAGAGATGGGGGGAGGAGGGGCAGAGAGAGGAGGAGAGAGGGGTAGAGAGAGAGAATCCCACGCAGGGATTCTCCACACTGACAGTGCAGATCCCCGTGCAGGGCTTGAACCCACGAACCATGAGATCATGACTTGAACCGAGATCAAGAGTCAGATGCTTAACTGACTGAGCCACCCAGGCACCCTGACACCCATCTTTAATAAGAAAGAATAGGACTCATCAGAGCATATCACTCACAGTAATGATGTCTTATTCCATGAAAACCTTGGTGTTGTGAATGTGTGTGAATACATATACTGAGAATTGGAAACGCTGATCCAGAAGATATTGAAGGAATCAAAGTTCACTAAAGACTAAGTATTTATGGTCAAATTTAGGAAAGGTTGATGAAGCATCATCCTCAGTTTCTGATAGTGTTTCAAAGTGGCAGTGGTGGAGGGTGACATTTAATTGGACACATTCATATACTTAGGGTTGGATTGATCAGATTCTTTAATTGCAGGGAATATGTGTGGTCCATGACAGCCCACACTGCATAAAATAAAGTAGCTAGAAATAGAGGCTTTAGCCATTTGGTTTTCTTGGCTAGTCAACTCCCAGCCTCTTGGTGATTGTGTCCATCCCATTAGCAGTAGTGAAACCTGACTGCCCAAGAGAACGACTCAGCCCCTGGAGTCAGAGATCTGTAAAGTAAAGTGAAAGATGGAACAAAGCTCAGGTTTCTGAGGTAGTAAATACTTTTGATGGTGTAAATGTGACAAGAGCTTTTAATCTTAATTCTGACCAACTCCAGAGTTATCTTCTGATGCATAAACATAAAGTTGCTCAGAGACATAGAAATTTAAATAAGAATTTAGAAACGTGAGGAATACTTGAGTGTTATGACAGAGTACCAGACAGTCTTGGACTAGGAATCTGAAGCTGAAATCGAGTTAGTTTGTTCTTCTCTAGCTAACCTTGAATAAGTCACTTCTCTGAGCTTCATTTTCCTGGTTCAAAAAATAAAGAAAATAATTTGCCTCTTTTACCTCATGGGACAATAAGGACTTGGAACACCTTCAGGATACTATAGTAAGAGCAAGTTTGTTGGGGACTTAATGTGGATTGGGTTTTGAGAAATTGATTGCTTATTGACTGACGCTGAGAAGATGAATGAACTACTTTTGCATGGACTGGAGAAATTAGCTGGTAATTTATGCCCTTAATTAGAAGACTGTCCTGGATATTGGGTTCCCAGGACATTAGCAGTTTGAATTTACCATGGTGATTATCATAGAGATCCATTAATTTTGCTGTAAATGGTGCTGGGCAGGTAGTGGGGAAAGAGAATTGGTGGTAGTGGTGGCAATATCTAATAAATAATAATAAATGTTTAAAATTAGACAAGGCTAAAACAAAGTGGCAAAACCAAAAAAGAGGTCCGTGTGGCTATTTCTCCATTTTAAACCTGTACCCTTTTTGATGTGTCTCTGGATCATCCTCCACATCTTCTTTGTTTCTTAAAGAATCCTGCTCAATGGTGACCTGCTCTTCATCCTGGAAATCAAACATTGCAGCAGAGATGGAATAATGAGAATTCTGGGCATAATGAATCCTGATCTCTTTTCATTTAGAATTTTGGGAAAGGACTTTTTTTTATGGACTGCATTTTATTTTTAAAAAATTTTTAATATTTATTTATTTTAATATAATTTATTGTCAAGTTGGCTAACATACAGAGTGTACGATGTGCTCTTGGTTTTAGGGGTAGATTCCTGTGGTTCATCGCCTACATACAACACCCAGTGCTCGTCCCAACAAGTGCCCTCCTCCATCTCATCACCCATTTTCCCCTCTTCCCTGCCCCTCCCACATGAACTCTCAGTTTGTTCTCTCTATTTAAGAGTCTCTTAAGGTTTGGCCTCCTCCCTCTCTGTTTGTAACTATTTTTTTCCCTCTTCCCTTCCTCCATGGTCTGTTAAATTTTTCAAGATCCACATATGAGTGAAAACATGATATCTGTCTTTCTCTGACTGACTTATTTCACTTAGCATAATACCTTCCAGGTCTATCCACATTGCTGCCAATGGCAGGATTTCATTCTTTCTCAATGGCAAAGGACTTTCAAAAGGTCTTTTAGAATTATTATGCAAGAAGATAGCTCCTATTATCTCCTTGTACAGATGTTTTCTCCTTTATCACAAAACCTGCAGGATCACACTTCTCTCTTCTTTTTCTTGCAAAGGAGCTGTTGGTATTTCTTCATTTTCTTAAGGGAATAGGCTCATATCTATGCTTTTTGCTCCTTTCTCTATTGTAATCATTCAATCCCTGCACTGTTTTCAGGCAAGCACTAAATGAAGTTTATATCAGAGGCTGAATAAATCTCCTTTTAAACTCTGTCAGCCCTGATTTCCTAAGGACTGAGACTAAGGCTGGCTTTATTTTCCTGAGAGCCCAAGGTTTGGCCTGCAGCTGGGACCACTAGCCTAGTATCATCAAGAGCTGACAAACTTTCCCTTGGGAAACCCAAGTTTTCCTTTGGTCCTCCTATTGGTTGGGCTAAAGGGAAGTATTTCTCTTTCTTAGCTAACCCTTGCTCTAATTAATGAAGTATATACCCGGGCTATCTTTCTAGGTACCGTTTGAACTTAAAATTTTTTTAAAATTTACTTATTTTTTAAAGAGAGAGACAGAGTGCATGTGGGAGAGGGACAGAAAGAGAGGGAGACACAGAATCTGAAGCCGGCTCCAGGCTCCAAGCTGTCAGCACAGAGCCCGATGTGGGGCTTGAACTCAGGAGCTGTGAGATCATGACCTTAACTGAAGTCAGACACTTAACCAACTGAGCCACCCAGGCGCACCACCCACTACTGCCAGTTTGAAGCTTTAAATATCCGTGTCCCGTCGTATTCTCAGATAGCATAGAGTATTTCCTGCCTCCTTCCACTTTGCAATAATATCTCAAATAAGTCCAGCTATCATAAGCAATGGTAAAGGAAAGTTGCAAAGAAGTTTACAGGTATGGAGCGGTTTTGCACGTGATCTAAGAGAAACAAAGCCACACCTCAGCTTTTGTTTTCTGTCACAGTCCAGGTGCCCATTGGTTCTCTGGACTGTAAGAGAACTCATTGAAATAAGTCATAAGCATATCTCTAAGCTGAAAGGATTCTCAAAGATCATAGAGTCCTTTGATGCTGAACTCCATTATACTTTTCATTTAGATTACATTTTCTGGTGAAGAATAACAGAAGAGAGACCAGTGGGGTCCAACTTGCAGCTGGTGAGGACGGGGGTAGGGGTAAGCCTTATTCATTTCATTCCCACCTAACACCTAGCTTAGCTAGTAGTTAGTGTTTGAAAAATATTTGACTTAAATAATCACAATTATTTTCTTACAGTGAAATGTCTCAAGTTACCTACTATCTATGGAATGTCTGGCATTAACTATTCTCTTTTATCCTCAACCCCATTCCCATCTTTATTTGTTTGTTTGTTTGATTAATTAATTAGTGTTTACCTATCAGATTGGTAAAGATTTTTTTCTTTTTCAAAAATTCTAATGCCAGTATAATTAACATACAGTGTTATATTAATTTCGGGTGTATAATATAGTAATTCAACAATTCTATACATTACTCAATGTTCATCATGAAAAATGTACTCTAAATCTCCTTCACTTATTTCACCCATCCCCCCACCCACCTCCCCTCTGGCAACCACCAATTTGCTATAGTTTTTTGAGCATGTTTTTTGGTTTGTCTCTTTTCTTCTTTGTTCATTTATTTGCATCCCAAATTCCACATATGAGTGAAATCATATAGTATTTGTCTTTCTCTGGCTGACTTATTTCAGTTGGCATTGTACTGTCTAGATCCATTCATGTTGCTGCAAATGGCAAGATTTCATTCTTTTTATCACTGAATAATATTCCATTATCTATTTATGTTTCTGTGTATCTATCTATCTCACCTCTTCTTTCTCCATTCATCCATTGGTGGACACTTGGGCTGCTTCTATAGTTTGGCTTTGTAAATAATGCTGCAGTAAACATAGAGGTGTGTGTACCCCTTTGATTTAGTGCTTTTGTATTCTTTGGATAAATACCCAGTGGTGGAATTACTGTATCATATGATAATCCTATTTTTAAGTTTTTGAGGAATCTCCATACTAATTTCCACAGTGGCTGGTCCAGTTTGCATTCCCACCAACAGTGCATGAGGGTTCCTTTTTCTCCACATCCTTGCCAACACTTGCTGTTTTCTGTGATTTTAAATTTAACCATTCTGACAGATGTGAAGTAATGTCTCATTGTGGTTTTATTGGCATTTCTCTGATGGTGAGTGATGTTGAATGTCTTTTCATGTATTTGTTGGCCATCTGTATCTTTAGAGAAATGTCTGTTCATGTCTTCTGCCCAATTTTTAATTGGTTTATTTGTGGGTTTTTTAGTGTTAAAAATATGGAACGCTTCACAAATTTCATGTCATCCTTGTGCAGGGGCCTGCCAGTCTTCTTCCTATCATTCCAATTTTATTATATGTGCTGCCAAAGTGAGCACCCATCCTCATCTTTAAAACAAACCCAAAACAACAACACAATCTTCTTGACCCCATAGTTGTAGGACATCTACCCTCCCTTCTTCCCTTCACTGCAAACCACTGGAAAGAGTTGTCTTTACTTTTAGTGACTTTCACACCCTACTCATTCAGTCCATTGTGATCAGGCTTTTATTGAGATGGTGGCTGCCAAGAACCCCCAAGGACCATTGTTGCCCAATGTGGTGGATCCTCCTCAGTCTTTATGTTTTTTTTTATAACACTAAAATATCTTTTTTTTTTTTGATTGTTTTGTGAAACAGCAAAAAAATTCGTATTTTAAAGAGCAGTTTCAGGTTCACAGCAAAATTGAGTGGAAAGGAGAAATTCCCCATATACGTGTGCCCCAACTCATGCATAGCCTCCCCCGTGATCATTGCCTCCTAGCAGAGTGGTCCATGTGTTGCAATTGATGAACCTACAGTGACACATTGTCATCCAAGATCTATAGTTTACATTAGGAATCCTTCTTGGTGTTGTACATCATATGGGTTTGGACAAATACATAATGACATGTATCCACCATAAGAGTATCACAGAGTCATTTTACTGCTCCCCCAAATCCTCTGTACTTTGCCCATGTATCTCACCCTCTCTTGGCAAGCATTGGTATTTTTACTGTCTCCACAGTCTTCCCTTTTCCTTTATATTTGGGATTGTACAGTACATAGTTGTTTCAGACTGCTTCTTTTAATGAGTAATACATATTTAATGTTCCTCCATGTCTTTTCATGGCTTGATGGTTCATCATATCTTTTTAGTGCTGAAGCATATTCCATTGTCTGGATGAACCACAGTTCATTCATCTATTCACCTGCTGAAGAACATCTTGACTGCCTCCAGGTTCTGGCAATTATGAATAAAGTCGCTGTAAACTTCCCTGTGCTGGTGTTATATGGACAGAAGTATGGTTTTCTCTCATTTTGTCGAATAATGAGGGAAATGGACACTTTTTTTTTTTTACAGTATGTTATGTAAAATAGACAGTAATAATATGGATAGCATGATCCCAATATAGGTGACATGTGCATGGGGGTGTATATTCGCACTAAAAGGTCACATTTTAAGATGTTAGGCACTGATTTTTTTTCCTGGAATTATGACGGTCATTCTTTTTTATCTTCCAAATTTTGCTTTACTTTAAACAAGTTATTTCCCACATTTTCTACTTTAAACAAGTTATTCTTTTTATCACAAGAATAACTCCCTCCAATAAATGGCTTGACATTAGACACCCAGAATTACCAAAAACGGATGACCTACAATGAATAATCTGCTTGATTTTTAGCAACAGAAGACTTTCTTAAATGAGATCCTACCCAGAACTCAATATATAAAAGAAATAAAAGTGGCTTTGCAACAGAGTCACTCAGCCTGCTCTAAGCTTAGGTGTCATGGATGAACCCGAGCAGCATGATGGATAGTTTTAGAACCATATCTCAGAACCTTACTCGCTTACTTTAAAATCGAGATGCTTTGGTTTAAGCCAGTGCTTTTTGCCTTGGGAAGGAGCTTGGCATCTGTAATAGTGATGTGTCCGAGAAACCTATGTACTCTCGCCATCAAAAACTCTGGGGACAGGTGTACAAACAAAATCTCTTTGTTTGAGCATGTGTGTTTTCTTCACGACTCTGCCTTACACATTCTAATTACCATTTAATTCATTCCTCCGAGTGCCAGCTGAGTGCACGCTTTCTGTCCCCACAGCTGTCAGGCCCTGTTGCACAGCGGTTACTATGGTAATAGATTCATTCAACCATTGTCGCCCTACCTGCTGGGTGTTTTGCGCAACTCTACACCTTAGTGAGTTGCTGTTTCCTGATATGTTCTGGTTTCCATCAAAGTCGTCTTCATTCTAAGGAAAAAGTACAGATTGCAAAAATACAGTTTCAGAACCAAGAAACTCAAATGTTCTTATTATAAAATGATACCTAGAGGACTTTTGAGGGATGGGACAGCAAAGAGCAGGTGTTTAGATGAGTCAGGTGAAAAAAGAAAGGACCAGTGAATCTCGGACTCATAAAGAAACAGAACAGATGATCTCTGTTCTATTCTGTTCTGATGGAAGGAATGGTTTGGTCCAACTTGAAGAAGAGGGAAAGGAGAACCAGGTGGCTTCATATAAGTCATATGACTTTATACTAAGAAGAGAAGAGGCTAGGGTGCATCACATACCACAGGCTTCCAGCTTATAAAAGAAAGCAAAATGTAGGCCAGATAGTTTTCGTCTTAGATGTTGGATTTTTGAGACGCTACAATGTGTTTTGTTTAGCTTAAAGCAATCTCTAGTAGTAATGAGAATCAGAAAAATGTCAAGATGTTTTGATTTTACTTTATGGATGGGAGTAGGCTGTGGTCTTGGAGGAGTGTCCTTACTCTTGAGCTGCTGTTTTGAAATGTGCCAGATACCACCTGGCTCATTGCTCTTTTACCTGTTTTGAGGTCCAATCTTTCTCCCATCTCATCCCACCTTGCCTTCATAAGGTGATTCATTCCAAGTAAGGCAACAAGATAGATAAATCGTGTCAGGTAGCTTTTCAGGAAATGTCCCTTGCCTGCCCTTTCAGTTGTGACCTTGTCTTTGAAAGAAGAACAAGTGTATGACTTTGATATTAAATTTAGATCTGTCTAGCCCCAAGGATCTATAAAAATTACAATTCCAACTCGTGTTGCATTTACCATCTATTAAAATACAAGGGTGTATAAAATGTGGATAAAATCTAACTTGCAGCGCACACGTGACTCATGCATGTTGCCCTTTTGGGTCACAGCTGCGTATCTTACTTTAGCACAGTGCCTCCCACACATCATTAGTTGTTGTTGCTAATAATTAGTTGTTGAATGAATGAACCACAGAAATTTTGATGTTGCATTAACTGGTATGGCAATGTAGTACCTTTGAGTATTTGGTAAAAAATAAAGTAGGGGGTGCTATATATGCTATGTAAAGACAACAAAATGTGCTGATTCCTGAAGCTGGCTGGCAAGCACTCAGGGACTTCTTTTACTATTCTCACTTTCATGGATGCTGAAAATTTTTAAATAAAAATAAATAAATAAAGCTGAAAAGTTATAACTATGGTAAAACCTTCGTTTGTGAGCATAATTCATTCTGGAAACATGCTTGTAATCCAAAACACTCGTATATCAAAGCAAGTTTCAAGAACCATTGGCTCAGTTGTGATCATGTGACATTTGGCATCATGTACTACTTGTATCGCGAGATATCACTCGTTTATCAAGGTAAAATTTATTAGAAATGTTTGCTCCTCTTGTGAAACACCCACAAAACAAGTTACTCACAATCCAAGGTTTTACTGTGAAACCCAGTATGAGTTGGTGGAAATACAGGGCACAGGTAACAGGGTGCTGGTCCTGGGGTTCCTAATGCTATGAGTGATGCTTTTCAGCCTCATCTACCCATCTATACCACAGTTTCAATTTGGTGTTCTCATGATCCTTTCCAGAATCCTGACATTTTCTGGGACCTTCTTGGTAATTCCTGCTAATTCTTGATTATTCCTGCCACCTGGTGGCAGAATCTGAAACTTTTGGAACCCAAGGAAGGGGCCTGCCTTTTTAAAGTTAATGAAAGAGGAATCGGTGTGTGTGTGTGTGTGTGTGTGTGTGTGTGTGTGTGTTGTTGGGGGTGGGGCAGAATAGGTGTAAGTGGTGAGAAGGGCACCTGTGGATGTATTCTGTAACATGTAATGGGATTGTTTTACCCCTAGTAGAGTGTACACCTTGGCTTTTTAACATTTTCAGGAGGAACAATGTCTCCCATTTGGGGATTTCCAGCAGAAATGATGGGGGTGTTTAGGTGCTGATTGGCACTGGAAAAATAATCCTTAAGACATCGCTTTGCTTTGTTTTATTGCTTCTTGTTGAATTGGAGTCATAGGGCCTAAATGGGTGTCTCATAATTACTTCTTAGCCTGTTGTTTCTGATCATCCACTTAACAATTCAGATTACTAGATACATTAGTATAGATTACTAGATATCTTACTACACTGAACTACAATGAATGTTGTGTTCTAAATGCAAGCTTGTCACTCCACTGAATGGGTGATCATGTTGTAGTGTTGTGTATGAGTATTTCTAAACAGCTCACTCAATTTTTCTCTTTTGCATTAGTTGCTGAGTGTACTCCATTCTCACTTGAGATGCTCTGAAGGGCAGATCCTTGAGCCTGGGGTTCCATTCTGAACTTTCCATGCTGCCTGAGCAATTATAGGTCCAAGGTGGGTTGAGTTTGCTACCTACCTGCTTCTCTGGGAGCATTTATAGTCCACTTTGCTCTCTATGGTTGAAATTTGACATGTAAAAGTCAACATCTGTTTCATGCATCTGATCTCTTCGCATTGTTTGGGAATATAGCTCCCCCTTTATTTATGTTTTACATTTAAATATCTACAAATGTTCATAGCAGCACTCTCCACAATAGCTAAAACATGGAAAGAGCCTAAGTGTCCATCAACGGACGAATGGATCAAGAAGATGTGGTTTATCTTCTTGGAATACTACATGGCAATGAGAAAGAATGAAATCTGGCCATGTGTAGCAACATGGATGGACCTTGAGGGTGTTATGTTGAGCGAAATAAGTCAGGCAGAGAAGGACAAATATCACATGTTTGCACATAGAGGAGGATTAGGAGGAACTTAACTGAGGACCATGGGGGAGAAGAAGGGGGGAAATGGTGAGGGAAAGGGAGAGAGGCAAACCATGAGAGACTCTTGAATGCTGAGAAACAAACTGAGGACTGATGGATGTGGGGGGGAGGGGGGAGATGGGCATGGAGGAGGGCACTTGTGGGGATGAGCACTGGGTGTCATACGGAAACCAACTTGACAGTAAACTATTTGTAAAAAAAAAATAAATAAATATCTACAAATGTCAAACATTTTAAGGCCATTTGCTCTATAATGTTTCCTCTAAATTGCTTGAACTTTGCCTTGGAATGATGGCATTTTCAAAGGTTGTAGTCCAGGAGCCTTTGATCTTTACTTATTGCACAGCACATGATCATTTTGTCTCAGGTAGCCTTGTGCCTCATCTCATGTTTACAGAATCCTTAATGTAGCCCATGGGCACTAGCTAGACCGTTCTTCCCTGAGATGTTCCTGTTTTTCTCACCAGCCTGTGTGGGTTTACGGACTGGGTTAAGGAGCAGCAGGACAGTGAGAGGGAAATGCTGGCTCAGCCTGTGGTTTGTAGTCACACTTCCCTGGCACAATTGTCTGTCACTTCGGAATGCTCTGAAGGGAGCTTTGAATTGGGCACAAAGAGGCAAGACCACAGAAAACTGATAACATTCCCCCCTTGTGATCTTTGTGAGCCAGGGGCTAACAGAACCTCTGAGTACAGGAAGTAGGGAAAAGCAGGGGTCTGTACCCAAACGAGAAAAATCAGGGGAAGGCTTATAATGATCAGATTCATAAAAATCAATTTAAGCTTGCAAGATCTCCTAGAAATGGCTTCCACGGCCTTCTTGGAGAAATTTCTAGGGGAGAAACTTCAGCAAAACAAAAGACTCATGAGAAATGATGGCTAAAGGAGTGATAGTATGTTTTGAATCTATTTAATGAATTAAAACTTTAATCCAGGGATTAAGATTCCAGAACAAATTATATACATTTTAACCCCTCACAGTGTAGAAAAGATACTCAGAACCCTTAGCTGAAGAAAAGAAAGAAAAGTAGAAGATAGGGTGAGCAGGCCAATCTTCTAATCCTTTAATTTCTGGGAACTGCAGGAGATTATAAGCAGCAGTATTTTAGAAAGGTAAATGCTAAAATAGATATATTCCACTAAAATCAAGTGGTAGAAAAAAAGGAAAAAATAACAGATATTAGAAAAATATACTAATTTTGTGATTACTTATATCTTAAGCTCATCATAAAAGGAACAATTCAGGTAACAAAAAAATACATCTTCAGAAGAAAACAAACAAAAATAAAGAATATACAAACCATACAGTGAAAAGATTTTTATAAAACACAACATAAAATATGATAAGAGGAGCTAAGAACAAATACACCCATCTGGCAGATCAATGGATTTGATTGAGTCATAGGGAGTAACAAGTGTGTACAACCATATACAGACATCCTCTGATGTCTTTGAGTTTTATGATGGTGCATAAGAGACATGAATTTACTGCAGTACAAATTGTACATTGAACTTTAGATTTTGACCTCTTCTGGGGCTAGCAATATACAGTATGATCCTTGCACGTGATGCTGGGCACTGCCCAGTCAGCCATGAGATCACTAGTGTCAACCATCAATTCTGTGCACATTCATCCATTATTTCTCACTTCACAGTATTCAATACATTACAGGAGATATTCTGTACACTTTATTATAAAATATGCTTTGTATTAGATGGTTTTGCCCAACTGTGAGCTAACATAAGAGTTCTGAGTATATTTAAGGTAGGCTAAGCTATGATGTTTGGTAGATGAGGTGTATTAAATGCATTCTTGACATACAATATTTTCAATTTACGATGGATTTACTGGGACATAGTCCCATTCTAGGCGGAGGAAGACTTGTACTGGAAATGACTCAGGGACTCAGAAAGATAAAACTGGGAGTGGTCATGATGGTAATGGACCAAGACTGAATACAGGATTTAAAAATGCAGTCTACTTGCTCCAAAAGAAACAATGGTCAGAGTATAATCTCACTCTCAGAAGCCTGGCTGTCTGTGTACAAATAGTTTAGATTAATGTAAAGGAAACTGAGGGAGAAATATCTAGAAACACATTTAGAAAAAAGTCGATAGAACTCTTTCAGTCTATGAAAGATCAAATGGGCAAAAGTAAGAATAAGGAAGACCAAGATGACAAT